CATTAATTCTGTCTTCCATTGCATCAATTCTACTCCTTTGCCCTTCCAATGTGTTATCTATTTCTGACAATTTAGTATTAATCTTCTGGATTTGTCTGTAGATTTAAAATCATTTCTAATTTTTCATTTATTTTGTCATTTTGTTCTTGTATTTTCTTCCAAAACTCTTCTAGGGTTTTTTCTGTGTTTTCTTTGGTCTCTCAATCCTTTGAAGATACCTAAATATAATTATTTTGAATTCCTTAACAGAGAGTTCCAGTGCTGCTTCTTCCTCAGGGATGTGTTCTGGGTCTGTATCCTACTTCCTTTTTCTACCACTTTATCCTTCTTCTTTGTGTGGACTGTGATGGTCTGTTGTCTCCGAGGCATCATGGCATTGTTGTATTTAGATCTCTGTTTACTGTCTGTGAAGAGCAGCCAATGGTGATTCAGGTTCTTCTTGGTGGTTTTTTATCATTGGCCCGTTGGTGGAGAAGGGGAGGTAGTGGCTCTCTCTCAGTAAGTGAAGTTGCAGGAGGTGTGGGTGTAGTTGTGTCTTATAGAGACTGTTGTTGTCTCCCACTCAGTTAGACACAAATTACAATTGAATAACCATCAAAAACTTTTCAGTCTTCCAAGTCTGGAGTGTCCTTGGGGTTGCTGGAAAGCAGAACGTGTTCTTAAGACCCAAAAATCTGCGAGTGCCCTGTCTCTTTAAATAGCCAAAATAGTCAAGCCACTTTTAAACCTTCAAAATGGTGGCGCCTCCCAGACCGGCAAAAGTCCACAGCTCAGCTCCCTCTCTCTTCACTTTCTCTGTTTATTCCCCAGCCACCAGAGCAGTTCTCTGTGCAGTCCCTGGCTAGCAGGGCTGATTTTTAGGTTAATTCTTAGGTCCTACCACCACTTGGGAATCTCCAAGCTGTCTTTGCCGTCAGGATCGCTCAGGATTGCTGCCAGACCACAGCTCGTATGTCTCCTTTTTTGGTATTTTCATGAAAATTCTTCTGTTGTTGGGGTTTAGTCCACTTCTATATCCTCCCCTTCAAGGCTCAGGGGTCCAAGATTATCTTCTGTGTCTGTGTTAATTGGTTTCCCTTTTCTTTGTTGAAGAGGGTCTGTGCAGTCTTTTTGCCTAGTGTCCATCTTGCCGGAACTCTGAAGTCAAGTGTTTTACAGATAATCATTTTCCTTCATTTTATGTAGGGATGGTGGAGGCCCATAACAGAGTAGTAACTTGCCCATGGTCACAAGGAAGTTAGTGGCAGAGCTGGGACTGGATCAGGTCTCCTGAATCCTATGTTTATGTTTCTGCTCGACCCAGTCAGGCAGTATACGGGCTCAGAAGTGAGGAGGAGGGGGGCCAACTCAACACAGCCAGTCTGAGCTGGGTGGCACTGCCCCCACAGCTATTACCAGAAAAAGCTGAAGGAAGCCACCTGCAAGGCCCGAGAGGTAGAATCAACCATAGGCCGCCTACGGTCCCGGAGGAAGCTTCCTTGCAACCCTCAGCAGGTAGCCAACTTTGAAGTCCCAGAACGAAGATTCCTGAGGATTCTGAGTCGGCTAAAGCAGCAGAACTATGGTGAGAGTCCTGGGCACACTGTGCTGGGCTGGTCCAGGTGCACTGCCCTCCCTACTCCAGGCCTCTGTACAGCCAGACCCAGGATGCTGAGGCCTTTTTGTCTCCCACTTTGGGCTCAACTGTATGCACCAGTAAAACGGGGTTGATAATCACTACCCTACATCCAGCCCAGTGGCAAAGCCCTTCCACAAAGGCCCCTTCCCCTCAGGCCTTAGCCCTGAGCATAGTCCCCAGAGATTGGACTGAGAAGGAGCAACTGGGAAGAGATGAGCAATCCAGCTTCCCTTTTACTGAGCACCCACTGCAGTCACTGTGTTAGGCCCTTTGCAGAAGTGCTAGAATGTCCTTCTCATAACCATGTATTTACCTCATTACATGAACAAAGTGAAGCTCAGAAGTTCAACTTGCCAAGGCCACACAGCTAGTGTGTCAGAAAGAGGGTTTTACACCTAGGTCTTACTCCCAAGCCTGTGCTCTTTCCACAGGGCAAAGATGCCCCCATAAACAGTAAATACCATTTATTAGGCTATGTTGTTCTGAGCGATGAGGAGCTCCCCAGATTCTCTAGAGCTGGGTATTTGAAGTACATGAGTTGTCCCTCCCAACTCTGTCAGGACCCATTGCAGAGATTTGCTCCTTGTTAAGCTGTTATTAGTCTTTACTCAGCCAAGTATTTTGCATCTATTATCCCTTTAATCCTCAACTCTGTTAGGCTGGTACCACTATCATCTGAGAGGTTAAGTGACTTGCATTTTCAAATCTACTTAGCTCATCATTATGTGGCTGAGCTGGGATTTCACCCAGGGCTGCCTGCCTCTTAAAGGCTGCACATGTCCTAAAACCTTCCCCTCTCCTTTGCCAGCAGCGAACCTGCAAAGCCCCTATGCCCAGGTACCTTGCATCCCACTCTGCCCGCAACTGGATAAGACAGTCCGCCGGAAGCAGGGCAGCCACAATGTGCTGGGCCAGTGCACTCCCACTAACTTGGGCCCTGACATTCACAGTTTCTTCTGTCCGACGGGACAAGGAGGCAGGTGGGTGTCAAGGGAGCAAGGACCCCATTCCAGGCTCATTCAACTACTTCCTTACATGGTGGCCCCCTGGCCTAACCTCAGGGAATCATCCTCCATGAAGTAATACCTGAGAGTAGTTTGCTCCAGGCAAGAGAAAGGGAAAAGCTTAGGTACCAAGTAGAGTGTTTCACTGAAGCCAGGGTACTTATGCCTTCCTGCGTCCGGGACTTGGTGGTACCTACTATTTCTCTCCTAGACTGGCACTACTCCCCTTTCTGATGCAGAGGGTTGAACCCTGAACCCCTCTGCCCAAGTCTGAGTCCATGTTAGCAGCAGGAATAAGCTCAGCAGCTGGGCTGAGGGAAGTTTCTACAGCAGTCCCCTTCCACACATCTTGGGGGAAAAACACTAGACCTGGATAACCAGGCCCCAGACTGATGACCAGCATCATCACTTCTGGGCAAGGGTTGGGGGGGGGGGGGCTCCTCTTCCCTTGGGCACATGGACTGTGGGGAGAAAGCCTAATGTCCCCCACATTTCTGCCCTGACCCCTCTGTTCAGGGAACACAGCTCTAACAGCCAAAAGTGGCTCAGCTCCATGCCAGCTCGAACCCACTGACCCTCCAGGTCCTGACTCTCAGGCAGCTATTCAAGGCCTGCAGACAGAAGTTTCATCAGGGCAGGAGGGGTGGGAGGCCGCTGCTGGATTATTTTTTCATGGCCTGGAAAGCTAATAAATACCATAAACCTCAGCGTCTGTAGGGAAGTTCCTTCCTCCAGGTTTTCACCCCTCCATTTGGCTCACACAGCAGGGCTCCAGCCTCTCAGGTGTGAGAGCCCCTGCAGCAAGACTTGTCTCAAAGCCCTGCCCAGGCTAGGATGCCTGCTAGAACCACCTCCTGTTCTCCAAGGTGCAAAGTCTCAAAGAACAAGCCTGGGTCTCCCCTCAGATGGGTGTCTCTCCAATCAAGACTAGGAGCCCCACGCTTGCTTTAAGGGAGTGGTGAACGTCAGAGAAATGCCTAGAAGACTCAGACCCCTAGAGGGCAGACCCTGTGGTCAAGCCAGCAGCAGCCTCAGCACCGTTCAACCAACAGAGCCCCAGGACCCAGTGGTCTCCTTCTCTCAGAGTTCTAAGGGAGTGGGTCCTTGTCCCCCACCCCACACACCACCCCAGGTCTACTTCTCTACCAAAGAGAAAGAGGCCCTCTCCAGGACTGAGCAGAGGTAGCTTCCCTAGTGGTTAAACAAGCAGCCAAAATAGGCTGAAGGCCAGGGAGTGAAATGATGGACAAGGCAATGACAAGTTTAAAACATGTATTTAAAATACAATTTATAAAATGCTTAATCTGCCGACTCAGGAGCCCGCGGTGCGGGGTGAGGTGGGGGTGGGCAGCTGCCTGCTACACCAGCAGAGCAGGACTGCAGGGTGTGGCCCTCCCTCCCATACCCTTCAGTTCAGACACCCAAGGGGCTCATGTGTGCACCCCTGGGATCACACAACCAGAAAACTGGACCTCAGAGGTTTCTTGAGTCTCTGCTTACCAGGAAGGCTGGATGTAGCCCCGCCGGCCCATCCCTGAGCAAAGCATCCCCAGATGGGGCAGACCAGGGTATGGCTGGGCAGGACAGGGCAGGGTTGGGCAGGGCAGGTGGGCTCTGGAAGGGTCTGATGGTAGCACAAAGGGTGTAGCCTCCTGCCTGCAGGTGGGGAGCACCCTGATTGAGTGGGCTGAGAAGGGTTGGTCACCAGGCCTGGACCCCCAGCTCCTTTGGTTATAGGCTGACATCAGAGTAGTGGCTCATGGGAAGCGGTTAGCTGGAAAGTCCGAGGCCTGGATCATGGGGTCAGGGAGGAGCTGGGGAAAGGGGACAGTACCATTAAGGCAGATAAAGGGGCAGCAGCCTCAAGTTTCTGCCCCCCATCCCCCTGGGGTTTTCCAAGCCAAAGCCTGCAGCTTACTTTAAAAAAAAAAAAAAAAAGCACTTAAGGAAAGTTACAGACAACTACAAAAAAACAAAACAAAATCCAAACTGTTCTCCCATCTTCCCCCCCGCCTCCCCCCAACACAACAGTTTCCTGTTTTCTTTTTCATGCCTGCCACCTCTCTGTCTGGGAAGCAGGCCATGACTGCTGGTGGGTGTGACGGGCACACAGCGGGAAAAGTCCCATCTTTGGCTGGAGGGAGGTAGGCATACCAGTCCTTGCCACAACCTCAGTCTGCAGACACTCGTCAGCAAGCCCTCCCTTTGGCTCCCATTTGGGGATAGGAGCCAAGGAACAGGTGGTCCCAATGGCTGAGCAATCAGCACCTTTGGTCTTCCCACCTGGCCTACCTCTGCCACTGAAAGGTTAGTCTCACCTTGGACCAGAGACCACTATTACATCAGGGATGGCCAAAACCACACATTTTAGAATGCAGAAACTTGATCTGGGCAGTGGAACTATAAAGATAGCAGCCAACATTCTCCCTTGCCCACTATGGAGGGACTTTCCCCTCAGAACAGCTGTGGACATGACTCAACCACCTGTGGATTCTCATAGACTAAAGCTCGGTTCCAGCTCCATTCACCATTTCCTGGCTTCACACAGTTTTAAGGCTGTGTTCTGGACTAGTCACTGACTGAACTGGCTAGCCCTTCCTCCTACAGAGAAGTGTGGTGGGACATGGTCAGCTGGGCCTGGCCTGCCGCTCCCACAGGACAACCAAAGGTAGAGTGAGCCTGCTTACCATCTTGGCCGTGACCACAAGCTGCTCTAATCGCAAAATGTCACACCAAACATTCCAGAACCCACCTGCTGCTGGTCGGGAGTGAGGAGGCCGCCTGGCTGGCTGAGGGATAAGGCGCAGTGCAATGAAAGAGGCCAGACAGCCGGAGAGGAGCCAGACAGCAAACACACACACAGCTGCTCTGGGCAGCTGTCCTCTTAGGCTCTTCCACATCAAGGGCAAAGCAAATCTCCAGGCTCCAGGAATGGAGGAAACTGCCTTCATTCCAGGCCCTTGCTCTGGAAAAAAAGGTGAAGGGTAGCCTAGGCCTCTGGGAACCAGTCTACCATCACTGATCTTTGCAATACAAAGCTCTTCCTTTCCCAACTTTATTTAGAATGGTTTGTTCCCAAGGTACTGATTTCAAAAAGGAAGTGCACCAGGTATAGTTACTGAGCCAGTGCCATCCAACAAAGATGGAGCACTGCAGACCCTGGAGGGTTCAAGCCTTGCTGAAAGAGGAAGATCTACCCACCTTCTGGCCTCACTAGGCAGAAGACTCAGAGTTCTGGAGCCAGACTCTGGTTTTCCTTGTGCCGACAGCAAAATACTGAGCAAGTCTCACATCCTTTACTTCCAAGCCCAGCAGTTCAGAACATCACTCTCTGACACTGGGCTCTCCTCTGGAAGTAGCAAGCCTGGCTGGTAGTGAACCACCCTGAGGGGTATGAGAAAGGGAAGTCTGTTCACTTCCTCCATCTCCCAAAATACTAGAGGTGGGGTTGACACTCTCCCCAAGCTCTATGAGCTAGCCCAGTCTCCAGGCAGGCCAAGATACCCTGGGACTTAGCTATGGGGAGGAAGGTATAGGCATGGGGTAACTCATCTGTCCTGGGGGCTGTGGGGCCCTGCCCCTTTTCTGGGCGGCAGCAGGAATACAGAAGCTAAGCTCACCAAATCCTATTGGTTAATGTTTCTAGTGAATTTCCCAGAAACATTTTTAAGTAGACTACCAAACTACCTTTTCTCAATTAAAAATTCATTAAACTTCTAAAACCCTCCATGCTCTTTTTCTTGCAAATCAGATATTGTATAAACAAAAATGAGAGGGGAGGGAAGAAAGGAGAGTTTCAAATGGAACTTGCTTTTTAAATGATGAAGACATGCACTTGGGGGGAAGGTTCTCATTTGTGTTTTGAAATCCCAAATTAATGAGCATGATAAACTCTTATTGCTGGCACTGGCTTTACCCCAAGTGGCACTGTCTGACTCGACTCTGAGTCCTTGGTGGGTCCCCCCAACTCTCCCCTAGCCCTCACCCTTTCCCATTCCATTGACTCGGGACAGCCCTTGTTGACATGCCAATCACAGTGGGAAGGGAGCAAGGGGGGAGGTCACAGTGCATGGGGTTCAAGGTCACAGTGGGCGGAGCAAGGGGGATCACAGTGCAATTAAAGTCAGGTCGTTCCCTCTGCTCAAGTCCAGCTGTCTGCCAAGGCAGTGCGACCCGCAGCAGACGACCCAGGAGGCGGTGATGGCAGCAGCGGCAGCATCCTTTGTCGCTCACGTTTATCTGCGCTGTTTGAAGCCTTGTGACCCATCAGGGCCCAGGGGCTGTCTGATCACATTGTTGGGCTGCCTGCTGTCTTCGGGCTGGGAGATCCTGGTTGGCCTGAAGGGAAGAAGAAGGGAAGAAGGCCTGAAAAAGGATATAAAAGATGTCCCCAAACCTTAAAACCAACTACCCTCACAGCTGAGGCAGAAGCCATGGGACTACTAGGCAACTCCGGTTCCCTCAATCTGCTGCTTTGGCAAGCAAAGGGCATCTCCAAGAGGAGAGGTCTCTGTAGACAGGGGGGAATGATGGTCCATGTCCACCTCTAGAAGCTGTAGCATTCCTGCCTCCAGAGGTAGTGACCATGGACAGCGTATCTGCTACAGAACCTTATGGTACAGATTCTCCTAAGTGTCAGGACAGGGTTAAGATCCTTAACCAAGAGCTCAGCAGAGTGACATGGTACCTGCTGCTTCTGTCCTTTTGATTCTTTCCAAACCATGTGGTTAATGGTTGACTCATATTACTATGGAAGACTAAAGGAAAGGACTTTTTGCACTCCAGAAAGATGGAAGCTTAGAGAGATCATGAATGTTTATCAAATTAAAGTATAGAAAGAAGGTATACAGATTAGTTCTCCAAGTCCCAGAATCCCAAGCCACAGAGGCCCTTCAAAGTTAGAAGGAGGTTGTGTTTTACCAAGAGTGACAGACTCACATAATGCAACCTCTAGAACTAGAAAGAAAACAGTCAAGTCAAAAAGAATTTAGCAAAACCACAAAAAACATCACAGTGATACTGTGAGACCAGGAAGAGAACAAGTTCTAAACACTTACTGAGACTCTCATCATGCCAGGCAGGGTTCTCAGTATACTATGCTCATTTACTCATTTGCTCTCACAACAACTTGGTGAGACAGGTACTAACTTTATCCCTATATTAAGATTAGGCAACTAAGGCAAAGAGAGGTCAAGTAGCTGGTGACAGAGATGAACTCAAACCTCCTGACTGATTCTGACTCCAGAGCCCAGGCCTTTAACATGCAGAAGCAGCATGCCAGCAAATCTTGACCTCCTCAAAGCACCCTCCAGGGCGCTTGGAAACTCCTTGGCTCCTAAGACAATGCAGTAAAACAATTAACCAGTCCAACCAGGCTAGGTAGGATTGGCAGGTGAAGCTGTGATGGTTCCAGTTCTGACCTAGCCTGCTTTACTCTCCACAAAGACTGGCTGCTCTCCTCCTGCAGAGTGGAATGGTCTCTGATCAGCCCTTCCAGCTACACTCACCTGTCAAGGATGGGTTTCTCTTGCTCCTCCTCGGGGCTGGCGCTACCCAGGATTCGTTTCCGTGCCTCGGCGTACTCTGCCTCCCGCTGGGCTAGGGACTTGACTGGAAGGGCTGGCCTGCTGGTGGAGTTAGGGCTGCTGACCACACCATTGCTGGTGGGCCTCTTGAGGATGCGGATCTGTGGAGGGGGCCCCGTGGGAAGGCTATCGTCCTGAATCACAATGGGCACTCTGGGAGGAGATTTGGATTTCCTGCTGACAAAGAGCAAACACAGCTTCATAAATCCTGTTCCTTGATTAACAAGGGCCCTTCCATGTCCCATATCCACCCTTCATCACTTTCCTCTCCCTCCCCTTCCTAATTCTATTTGTCATTCTCTGGCCTCTGACCAGACACATCAAAACTCCCACTATCAAGGGTTTCTCAAATGAGCAAACATGCCACAAGCTCAAGCAGTCCACAGGAACTGCTCCTCAGATCTACCCCTGACAAAGGGGGTGAATACCACTCATTCTGGGCCTTCTATCCCCATGATCATGACAGTCATGGCAACCACTGTTTGGTCCTGTGGCAAAACATTTCATGTCCAGAAGCCAACGACTTCAAGTTAAAACCTGAGCTTCTTTACACACACCACAATGTAACAGGCTGGTGAGGTGGGAGACCCAAAGTTCAGGGTGTCAGCAAAGTGCTCGCCCCCAATCAACATCTTCTACCACATGTGCTCAAACCAATTTCACACTATAAAAGCGCCTGCTAGGCCGTATCAGCCTGGCATGAAGACAGGATTTACCAAATTGACTCAGCCTTCTGGTGCAAATGAGGCCTATGTCTCCCAGAGACAAGCCACGCCAGACAATGGCATCACCTCTTCCAAAGAGCTCATGAGTAGACACCTCCCTCATCAAGGCTCTCTGGCCAGTTTGACAGCGACGGGGCTAGGATGAAGGACAATCCTGGAGACAGTGCTTGGCAATACTCAATAGGAAAGCACTGCCCAAGGCTGATGATGTGCTCATCAGTAGAGGTGGAATTAAAAAAAAAATCCAGTGTCTACCAAAACAAAGAGGGATGAACACAGGAAGGGGAGGAAGAAGAGCCACAGGAAGAGAATGGGACCCAGATGGGAATGACCAGCCCACAACAGCGACAGAGACCCTCCCCAGAACTGTCAACCAGCTTCTCTTCTAAAACAAATAGACCCAAAGGGGCTTGTCTACAGAGCCTTGTTGTCAGGAGGGGCGGAGACTGGAGGAACTCAGCTGCTGCCAGGGTAAGCTGGAACACGTCCTGGGCAGGTCAGGGATGGCATGGAAAAATGGACTGTAATCAAGAGTTAGTGTCATTGCTGAGATGAGCAGACAGACAAGGAGCCAGCAAGCTGAGCAAAGAGGCAGGGAGCCAGGAAAGCTAGCAGGCAAGCAGGGCATCCCAGAGTTCCCTGGGAGATGACTGTGCAGCCCATTAAGAAAATCCAGAGAGACTCTATCCCCCTTCTTCCTCCTGCTTGTGCCTGTGGGAAGCCAGACAGGTTACCTGAGCCCAAAGACAAACTCCTGAGGTCAACTTTCACCTGCTCTGGAAACCCACTTCCTCCCCTGTCTGAGTGGGTAACAAAAGCTATCCTTAAAGGTGTTTCAAGAATATCTTTTCTTTCGAGATACCCCCTAATACCCTAAGCCACCAAGTCATGGAAAGCCCAGAGAAATTATTCGTCCAACATCCTATGTCACAGAGAAAGAAATTAAGGTCCAGAGGAGGAAACAACTTGCCCCAAACCTCTGAACAATTAAGAGCTGAAAACTCAAAAAAACAAAAAAACAAAAAACTAAACTCGCTGCCGTCGAGTCGATTCAACTCATAGCGACCCCTCCTTGGGTTTCCAAGGCAGTATCTCTACGGCAGTAGATTGCCCAATCTTCCTTCTAAGGAGTGGCTGGTAGGTTTGAACTACCAGCCTTCTGGTTAGCGGTCAAATGTTGAGCCAGGCCTAAAACCCAAATTTCTGACTTGTCACCTCCCCACTTTCCATCAAACCACTACAAACCCACTAAGGAAGAAGGCAAGTGCAACACCTCAGTCTCACTCCTAAAGCCTCCAGCCACCTCATTCTGCTCTCCTCCTCCTGGGTTTGCTGCCCAGTAGCATGACCTGCTAAACCTGGGACCAGCTGGAGAACACCACTGCCTGCCCAGCTCTCCAATGGCAGAGAGCACAAGCCCTCAGACCACAAAGCAGCCTTACCTCTCCTTTTGTGTGATCTTCAGTTTTTTTTCCAACCGTCTGTCTATTTCCTAGAGGAAAAAAATGTATATAAAAAGCGGAAAAAAAAAATCTCTCTCAAATAAAAGCTTACGTCTTTATTTTCAGAGCTAAGGGCAGTGTTCTCTCTCTGGTCAGGAACATGACTGTGTCTTTTTAGGTAACGATATGGACCTTCCTTTACGGATACTAAATTGGAGACCTGACTCCCTCTGAGGGTTTGTCTCTCTTCCATCCCCACGACTACAGCAATCACTTTAGACCTCACCATCTATGTGGGTTCTTGGCAGAGCTTCTAACTAGTCTCTTCGCCTCCAATTTCTCCCTTTCAAACTGTCCTTCAAGAGCCACTTAAATCAACTTTCTAAACACAAATCTGATCATGTCACTTCCCTGCTTAAAACTCTTCAGTTGCTTGCAGGATCAAATCCAAGCTCCTGAAAATGGCTTCATCCACACCTTCTGTCTTTTATCTTCTGCTTCCTGTTTTACACTATAGCGATACTGAGCTGTTACTAACCCCACAACCCAGTGTGCTGTTCCACTGCCTGCAAGGTCCTTCTCCTCCTTTGCAAACTTCCCTTTATCCTTCAAAACCCAGCTTGGACATTGACCAGCTTCTCTGTGAAGCACAGATAATCGCCTGCTTCTCAGAGATAAGCCTTCTTTTTACAATCCTTTGTATTCAGATTTATCAATTGTTTTATAATTTATTTCTTCACTATTGTGGACTTGAACTCCCTGTTACTAGCAAGCAACAAATGGCCTAGAATTAAGCAGAAGGCTAACGTTTGAGGGACTATCTAGGCAGCCTAAGCCCTCAGACCTTCAGCCCCTCAGCAACTCCATGCCTCCACACACTTAGGTACAAGAGTCCATACACAGGACCATGGCAAGCTATGCACAGAGCAAAGATCAAACCTCCAGATTCCCTGGCTGTCTCACTGATTTTCCTTAGAAAACGTCCCACTCCTTCAACTATCCTCAGTGAAGACAAGACAACCTAAGCTAAATGCACAATTACGTGTGTGTCTACAGGAATCTTTAACAGTGGTTCTTAACAGGGGTGGGGAATGATTGTGCCTCCCAGGGGATATTTGGCAAAGTCTAGAAACAGTTTTGGTTCTCACAACTGGTGGTTGTGGGGTGCTACTGGCCTAAGATGCTTCTAAACATCCTATAACACACAGAATAGTCTCTCCACCTGCTAAACAAAGAATTATCTAGCCGAAAATGTCAACAGTGCTGAGGTTGAGAAATCCTGATTTACCAAGTAGATGGGATTTTTGAAGGGGTACATTATTCACAAAATGTTAAGACCTTGGTAAATAATAAGAATTTTAAATTTTAAATTTGCTGAGATCTGCCTCACAGCCAAGTGTGACAAGTATGTGCTGGCAACTATTCTACAACTGATGAGTACTGGGTTCTGTAGCTACACATTAGTTCAAGCTGATATTGTTTAAATCTTCTAACTTCTTACTCATGATTTTGTTTCATGTACTACTGAAAGAGTCAAGAATTATTCTTTCTAGTAAATTAGTTTAGTATGAAATAATCTTTTTTGCCTTAAAATCCACTGTTTAAAACATACAAGACCAAAAGGGCAGCATTTCCCCAAAACCAAAGCTCAGAAGGCAGGAAGGGCCAGGAAAGAAAGATGAATGGAAACAAGGGACCCAGAGAGGAAGAGGAAGAGTGCTGTTACATTGAGGGGATTTCGACCAATGTCATGAAACAGAATGTGCATAAATTGTTGAATGGAGAATTAATTTGCTCTGTAAACTTTCACCCCAACTATAATAAAAAGTGAAAAATAAACAAACAAAACTACTAGTTAGTATTAGTAAAGCTATGCCAGCTTTCTAGTGGTTAGTATTTCCTGAAATATGTTTTCCCCAACTTTCACATCCCCACCTTTCTGTGCCCTTGTGACTCCTAAAACCGGATGACACACTCATTCTGACTGGCAATGAGTTGTGTTTAAATTTTGTTTTCATGAAAGACCCAAAATAAATTTAGGCAAACAGAGTACACTGTATTCTGAAGATACCAGCAAGTCTCTGGTGGGGCTGGGTAGCCAATAAACAAAAAACTCACACTAGCTGAATTTGAGAGGTCCCATCCAAGTTTCCTCTCAAAAGAGCATACTGCATCCTCTTTCTCTAGGGCTTTAGGGAAGACAGGGAATCTCTGTCTAGGCCCAGCAAATAGAGCCTAGGTGGAGAAAAGGCCTTCAAAGAGACACTACAGGCCATGTTTGAGTAATTATGTCTCTATCCCTAACTAGAACATGACCGGCATATTTGACATATTATATAATACTACTGATCCATTATTTGTGCCCATTCCAAAGAAAGGTGATCCAATGGAATGTGGAAATTATCGAACAGTATCATTCATATCACATGCAAGTAAAATTTTACTGAAGATAATTAAAAAACAGTTGCAGCAGTACATTGACAGAGAATTGCCAGAAATTCAAGATGGATTCAAGAAGACATAGAACAAGGGATGCAATTTCTGATGTCAGATGGATCTTGGCTGAAAGCAGAGAATACCAGAAAGATGGTACCTGCTTTTTTTATTGACTATGGAAAAGCATTCACCCATGTGGAGCATAAAAATTATGGATAACATAGCAAAGAATGGGAATTCCAGAACACTTAATTGTGCTCATGTGGAACCTGTACATGGACAGAGTAGTTGTTCAAACAGGGTAAGGGGATACTATGTGGTTGAAAATCAGGAAAGTTATGTGCCAGGGTTGTATGCTTTCCATACTATTTTAATAATCCGAGAAGCCAGACTATATAAAGAAGAATGCAACATCATGATTGGAAGAAGACTCATTAACAACCTGCCATATGCAGATGAGATAACCTTGCTTGCAGAAAGCAAAGAGGACTTGAAGCACTTACCACTGAAGATCAAAGACTACAGCTTTCAGTATGGTTTATACCTCAACATAAAGAAAATTAAACATAACATACTATACAAAACATTGTTCCACCTCCTACTTTCGTGAGTAGCGACTGGGATCTTAAAAGCTAGCAAGCTGCCATCTAGATGTAATGATGGGTCTCTCCTCGTCAAGAGCAAAGAAGAAAGCAGAAAACCAAAATTAATGGAAACAATCAGTCCCCACGACTGGTACACCATCCGATCT